AAACACCCTGAAATTCACAGTCTATATATATATATATATATAGTAGGGTATACGTTTTAGTTGAATTCTTCAGTACTGCGATAGGATAGCAATAATCTAATATATATACATATATTCATTTTGGATGTAATATGGTTTTGTACTTTTCGTGGAACCTCTTGAAAGATTATATATGTATAAATAGTTATATATTGTATATTGTTCACTTCAGCTGTTTATACTCTGAAGCTATAGAAAATGGCAGAAAAAGGAGTGACAGATCCCATTGAGTCTATATATTCCTGATAATGGCCTGTTTCACTTTTTTTTATACCCTGAACCCATTGAAATCATATCGAGTTTTTCTCCCAAAATCGATAACTACTCCCGATGTTTGGTTATCGATTAAAAGCCTTATCGAAAACTAGTTTTTTAATTATATCTTATACCTTTGGAGCTACAGTCTCCGAGCTTGAAATGTATACTTATATGTATTTAATACAATTTCAATTTTTTGAAATTTAACACCCACCCCCTCACCATCGTATTTGTAAATGGCGTATTTCAAATATTATGTTATGATCACGATCTACAAGTTTCATGGAAGTAATCCAGACAAGAAAAGTTATTAAACAATTAAATTCCCATGCGTGTTTATGCGTGCATGCCTATGTGTGTGTTTCTTGTGTAAGCAACTTGTTTACTATTTTATTGTTATCGACTAATGTTAAGATTTAGATTTGCAAATTTATTTATATAGGTACTCTATATATAGAAAATCCCCATAACTCGGTATGGGGCTCGGCTCTATTATTAATTTACCTTCCTTGTGTTGTTATGGTTATAGTTTTGATGTACCGGTTATACATTTAATATATATATATATATATAAAAAAAAAAAAAAAACCCCAATACTCTCTCATACTATAGTAAACAAAATAGTTGAAGCGAAGTCGGTGAATGTGTGTGTGTGCATGTCTTATTACTTGTGTATGCACAAAACAAATGAAGACTTATTAGAATATTAGAGGAGTTCAGTGGATCTCGCAGTCGAGCAGTCTCGGCTACAGCGCTCTCACATTTATTATTTGGAATTATTCTGCCGCGTTGCATAGCCGATATTTTTTATTATTTTAAGTCTCACTCACCCTTCTGCCCACGCACATCGTCACCTGCTGTATTTCGCTGACTATCAGCTCGTCCGTGGTCTGTATGTAAACGCGGATCGGCTTGTAGATGAAGAAGAGAGGGACTGCCACGCCCATGCAGGCCAGCCAAATGCCACCGATGCAGAGTACGCAGAGTAGCCAGTGGGGAGTCCAGATGCCAACAGCCGCGCGCCTTATCGACATATAGCGATCCAGCGCAATGACCACGAGCATAAAGCTGCTGCACAGCACTGTGGTAGTGTTGACAAACGGGATAAGGTAGCACATGAAGGGGCCAAGGATCTAAAACGGAAACATTCAGTCGAATTTCGGAGAGGATTCAATGGGAGCTAAGGGTCGCACCCAGTACTCAAGGTAGTCCGCCCTGAATAACGCTATGTTGGAAGTGGTGAAGTTGATGCAGTACATGAGGTCGCTGCAGGCCAGCGAGATGAGGCAGGCGCGGAAGAAGGGCCTCAGCTTCCTGCTCGAATTCACATACAGCGCACTTAGGTTGCCCACAAGGGTGCACACGAAGAGTACCGAGACCAGGAACAGGAAGATGTAGCGTGGCGTGCTGTGTATCTGGCACAGGTCGCTTGCATTCAGCAGCGGATGGAACTCGTCCGATGTGTCGATGATTAGCATTCGCGATGCCATTTAAGTTCCGCCCGAAAGTATGCAACACAAACGGTTCAGCTGCCCGTGCGTCAATCAGGGCGATTGCTCAGGGACTGACAACTGAAATATCTGACAGCAATCCGCCTTGTGGCAGACCCCTGCCACCTGCTACTAGTGTGTGTTGAGCGTTTAGCTAATATTATCACCAGCTATCGTCGACCGCTATCAGTCGCTTAGCAGCGCAGTTGATTGCTATCGGCTGTCGCAAAGGTTCGCATCGCCGGAACCCACACGCGAGCGACTGACCACGCTGATATTGCGCCAGATGTCAAATTAATTTATGTGCATAATAACGCATATCTTGACATAAATACTTATACGTATATAAATAAATATAATAGCCTGCGGCTCATTCGCTTGGTTCACATTGTAAATAATTGGGCAATCAAACTGATACCATCGCAAATCACATTGCAATGCATTGCAATGGTCAACAACTGCTAAAATAAAAGCGCGGTGTTTTATTATTCTGCCGAACACAAAATGAATAAGAGAATATTTGATTTGTGGGCACGATACCTTCGGACTTCTAGCGCTAGACTGCTGGATGAGGCTTTCCAATAAAAAGCCGGACAAAATTCAGGAGTTAACTTCGATTTTTCAATATAAACTTTAGCTTTTCATTCACATAGATCAAAAACAGACGCAATGGCGAAAAGGCTGTGCACATTGCTCAGTAATTTATATGTGCCTTAGAGGTTTACAGTAACTTCTCTTATACAGTCATCATTATACTCTTTCAAGAAGGTAAAAGGAGTATATTGTCTTGGTTCAATGTCCGCTTTGCTGTCCGTGTGTCCGTATGAACGCAAGGCAGACTTCAAATTTAAAACAAATACTAGAGTAGATTTTTTATTTTCACGGTTCCCCCACAAATGGATTTGGCTGCGTTTGAGCTGTGAATGAGTATTCTGTAGTCAGTACGCCCGACTGCACCCTTATTACTTGCATTCTGTTAATATTGGCTGATCACATTAGACCCTAAATAAGGATAAAATGGAATTTTTAAAACGCTGCAAGATGCTCAAATAAAGTGTCGATCTAGTAATGAGCTTTGCACTACCCCAATTCTACTCTAATTCGGATTAGATTTGCGGGCTTCGAGCTTTCCGCATAACTTACACAGAAGGCAGTTAGCTTGACAAAAATGCTTTTCGATGACAAATTTTTCCGTTCGTTAGTGAATATTGAAAATTGATTGAAATTAAATTTAATAAAAGTCTAAACGACTACTCTAAAACTATCAAGTGTATAATATTATATAATATACTATTGGCACAACTGTAAACCTATACATTAGTGAGTTGACATATCCTAAGAGGGCCGCATTCCTCAGCTAAACATTTATGGGAGAACACAATCAATCGAGCTCATTTTCTTCAGTTCATATTCGGACGAGAGAGAGAGAGAGAAAGAGAGAAAGAGAGAAAGAGAGAGAGAGAGAGAGAGAGAGAGAGAGAGAGAGTTAAACCCTTGTTGATACTAAAGTACTTATTTATCTATCTACATTTTTGCGAGACTAAGACTCAGATATCGTTACTCGCCATTAAAGTGGCGAAAGTGTGCTTAGCTTATGCATATATTGGAATTACTTACATTTGTATCTCAATCTAAATATATAAATATTTGCTTTAAAGTTTTGTTTTCACTGATTTCTTTATTCATACAATATAATTCGGCGAATATTTCGAATATGCATTGGCGAATTGTATAACTACTTAGCACTTTTTATTGTCCATTAGTGTATAGTTTGCTTTATAAAGGTTTTTTGTTTTTAATCATGAGTTCGTGATTCGCTCAAGTCACTTCAAAAATACATAGCGTACATTTATGGCCATTATTTGTATATATAGAGATTCTTCGTATATTTATGCTTACCTAAATTATAATTAGTATACATTAAAAGTATGTAACGGTAAACTTAACTTAACATCAAGAGCTTATGCATCAATCTAAGCTAAATTAAAAAATTATTGCAAGGCTTTTAAACAATGAACATCGTAAACAATCGTAATTAAAACAAAAAAAAAAATGTTTTTTGTAAACAATAATTAAACTTTAATTAGGAAAACATGATAGAAAATATAGTTAAAATACTTGGAATTTGTGGGCACAAAGGTATCCACGGCCACGCCCACTCACACACACTCTTATCTTTGTTTGCCTAAATTATAGTCTTTTAAGCTTATCGCAAAAACCCGCATAGTTATAGTAAAGTATGGTATTGCATAACTTCATTTAGTGTAATTTAGTTTAGTTTAGTTCTGTTTTGTTTAGTGAATTAGGTAGCTTTATAACGACGGATAGTTTTCCATTTGTTTCTTTATGTATATCGATAGGCGCATTGCGCATACGCACAGTTAAGCCATAGCCAAGCACGTGTGGCGCTACTCGTACTCGGACTGCTCCTGCGAGTCCAGCTCCAAGCACTGACTGCCCATGTGCACGGTCAGCGTCTGATACGGCAGCGGTTTGCCTATGCTCAGGTTGGCGGTGACATAGATCAAGTAGCTGTCGCCGGGCGTCAGGCTGAGTATCGTCTCTGTCTCTAGCTTGTCCACATTGCTGGGATTGAAATAAAAATACAAGTTAGGCCATCTAAGTGTCATTCGACTGCTTACCTCGGCAGCTTCTCGCGGCAACGAATGTACTTAAAGCTCTTGTGCTGCGTTACCCGCACCGCTCCAAAGTCCATGCAGTAGTTGGTGAACTCCGCAACGCTTCGCTGCGGCAGACTAAACACAATCACGCAGTAGCTATCGCACATGATAATACAGATACATGTCATGAACACGTTAAATAATATTGTAAGAAATTATTCAATATAATAACAAAGCAAGCGTTAAAGAACGGGCCTCTTAGCTTTCCCATAGCACCGTATTCCGACAGCGTAGAGTGCCTCGGTTTTCACGCTTCATTTGAGTGAACCTATCTAGGCAAGTGTTACGAATCAGTACAAAGGTAGAGCAAGTACAAATTTGATAAGCATATTTCATTTCATTTAATTATTATATATATATTGTGGCGAGGGCCAAATTAAAACAAAAACCGAAATTCTATAAAATACTTATAAATCTACATTTAAAATTTGGAGATTATATCTTAAAAGATGTGGGAAATATAATTAAATAACTTATTTTCGATAAGGTTTTCAATCGATAAGAAATATCGGGAGTAGTTATCGATTTTTGGAGATAAGCTCAAAAGGCACGTGATTCACACAGACCGTGAAAAAAATTTGAAGCCTGAACACGTTTAGGCCTGGAAACGTTCGTTGTATATAAAGTTAATGAATACAAAGATTTTGTGTTTTACAGATTTTGGTTATCACGCCCCCTTCGCCACCAATTTGTAAAAAACGTATTTCTAGTACTAGAGACTTGTGCTGTGGAATGCATACACATTCTGGCCATATAAGTTAAAAGTTATTCAACAAATAAATTCTCCTAATATTGTCCACACTGCAGCGCAGCCCAGGCGCAGTCGCTGCTTACTGCGCAGTTGGCAGAGCGCGTGCTTATACGTACGTGTGGAAGCATGTGTATGTATGTGTGTATAAAAGAAGTGTAGAATGAGTAGAATATCAGTTTGGAGGGCTTAGGGTATTTTCTAGTCGACCAGTCTCGACTGAAGCCTTCTTACTTGTTTTGATTAACTCCATTGAGATTAAGTCAACGACTGAAAAAATCTGTGCAAATATTTCTGCTGCTGTTAATTTGCCAGTCAAAAAACCTATATACGATTAGGTGAACATGCTCATGAATAATATTCCCATATATGTTTTCGAATAAGAAAGACAAAGTATTCGAGAGTGCGCTCCCTGTCCCGCAGGAGTTGATCGCGGCATATTTATTTGAAATAGGAGAAAAACAGTACTTGTATTCTAGAAAGCAGTTCTACCCAATTCCTTCAGGAGCCAATGACTCTACCGGATATCTCAACTTTGAAAATTTGTATACTCTATCAGAAATCAGCTGGACCTACCTCAGGGCGCGTTCGTCTGGCGATCCGTGCCATGCAATTGTTGCGCTGGTGCAGCGCGTTCGGACATTAAATACCGTTATGTTATCTGGCAGTTCCGGCAGGTCGCGGAAAAGGCGGTCCGTGCTGATAGCCAGCTGCAAGGGGTAGAAGAGAAGGAAATGAACATAATGACAACTCTGGGCCCTTTCGGGCATCGGATGCTGACGACATACGCGAACTTTCTGGGCTCGCAGCGCCTCGTCCTCGTTGCTGGGTTGGAAGCGCATCAGATAGCGCTCGCCGGGCTGCACGCCCTCTAGCTTGATGTAGGTGGGCGAGTAGATGTTGCCCACGTTGGCCACCTGTCGGTGCTGGCGCAGAAGCTTCACTCGTATCTCGCTGCCGGCACAGGGCAGCAGCAGGTAGCGCATGAAACTGGGCGGTGGTGTGGTCGCGGGCACCTTATAGCTGTACACCTGGACGCCATGCAGACCCCCGATCTTGAGCAGCGCCAGCGCGTGCTGTCGCAGCTCCGTTGGATGGGTGCGGTTGAAGTGCACCTGGACGCTGGCCAGGCCCAGCGTCAGGTTCTGCAGTCGCTGGTGCACGCCGAACAGCTGCAGTCTGTAGCTGCTGTTCGGCTGCAGTCCGCGCAGCTGCTGCTGTGTCCGGGCGCCGGTGCAGACAATGTGCAGCCGGTGCTGCGGATTCAGGTGACGCGCTCGCTTCGGCGCCCTTGACCATACCAGGTCCCAGCTGCTGCTGGCGCCCGGGCACGGCCCGGCAGTGCCTCGCGAGTGCGCCTGCTGCTGCCGCGTGTAGGCGTATACGGCTTCGCAGAAGCTGTCAAAGTCCTGGCCGGAGGTGGTGGCGCTGTTGACTCGCTGAACCACCAGGCAGTAGTGCATGGCATGGTAATCAAATTTGCTGTGAAGATTGTGAAAGTGACAGAAAAACTGGTTCAGAACTCAGAATTCGATTTACATCTTTGCATATCATCATAAGAGACTACGTCATATAATATATGGTAGGGTAACATGCTATAATATTATAATATAACATATTTGCATATTAAAATACAATTCAGCTATAATATCACCATAGGAGACTACTTAATATACAGTACTTATATGAAATACTTAATATTGACTACTTATTATACAACACTCATAGGTCTAGCTGTGCATGAAGTTATCTACATAAATTAGTAAATCAATAGCGGTCAATAGGTCAACTGAATTATCTTGTGCAATGTGTGCGGATAATCCTTTCCCTTTCTCAGCGCTATGCTTGACCCACCTGCGCTCCCATTTGACGATCAGCTGACGCTTGCGCACTCGGTTCTGGGTGCGGATGGCGATGCGATGTGTGTGATTGAGCAGGGGCCACGACTGGTGTGGGTGCCTGGCCTGGGCCTCCAGCTTGAGGGCGCCGGCCTGGCGTGCCTGCACGAAGAGATCGTATTGACCGCGCAGGGCGCAGGGCAGGACCAGCCGGCCCATGGTGGGGCCCTTGGCGGGCGCGGCGAGGCGCAGCAAGTTTGCTGCGAATGCAAATGCGGAGATCGATGCAGATGGCAGAGGATGGACGGATGGGAAGATGCAAGCTTACCTGTCTGATTGTAGAAGAGCTGACGTGCCACGGGCATCGAGAAGAGAATCGTCAGCGGCGTCGAGTTGTTCAGCTGCAGCACAAATCTGCAAAACAAGACGCAAAACGAGCGGGTGAAGTGGTGCCGAGTGCTGCCAAGTGGGCCGGAGTGGGGCCGAGTGGGGCGGAGTAAGTGAGCTGTTGACGCCCTTTGTCAAAAATCATGACACTAAATTATCGCATGCAATTTGTCTCGCCTGTGTCCGAGCGAGTGAGTCAGCGCCTTTGGCAGCCGGCGCTGCAACAAAGTTGACGTCGCGGCATGCAACTTTCTGCAGCTACAACATGCATGTACACACATATATTACGTATAATACATACATATGTATATACTTATTCCGTTCCAGCGGCTGCCACAGCCCATTCCCTGGCCATTCGATGTGCCAAAAGCCTTGCTTTGTAATTAAGTGCTTAATTTATGAGCAATATTTCTAATGACAAAGGACCAAGACAAATGAGCCACAGTTATGGGACTCCCACACACACAGACACACTCACACACACACGTACATATACAAAGAGTCGAGAGGAATCTCGATTGCGGCCAAGTGACTCATTGACTTGGCTTATGGCCGGCCATCTCAAGTTTTATGAGCAGCTACTTCCGGCTAACGCCACTTGCCAATGCAGCCACGCCCCCGCTCGCCCGCCGACATGCTCACACATGGCCGGCCAGTTGATGGAGTGCTTTAATGCACTCCATTGTTGGCGGCCATTTTCGACTGGCGACGCGGCGACTGCACAAATATTTGCTTTAATTTGCGCCTTGCATGTTTCAGCTGCAGTTGCAGTTGCAGTTTCAGTTGCAGTTGCACTTGCCCTGGCACTTGCAGTGGCAGTGGCAGTGGCAGAGGCAATCGCAGGCCTTTCGTGCTGTTATTGCAATCACTGCTGTTGGTATTGCTGCTGCCTGCCGATGACAGCGGTCAATTATATAACGCAAACTTCATGCTGTGAAAGCCGAGTCCTTCGAGCTCTGGTCGAAGTCAGAATGCTCTAATCGAGCGTGGAGCTATATTATATTATAGATACATTGGTATGTCGTTTCAATTTGCGATCCTGATCTGAGCAACAATTAAAATTAATTCTGCAAACGGCTCATGTTTTTTTAGAGAATTTTAAATATTTATATTTATATATAATGCAAATGGAGAGTGCAAAGGTATTTGATTATAGCAATTACATATGCATCCATATATGACTGTTAGCAAGAGTCTTCAAGGTTGTACAGTACGGTGTTGGAGTCTGGAACTGTGGAATATATAGGGTATTTTCGAATGCCAGAGCGTCAAGGGTTTCGAGTTTCGAGCATAGGTATACAAATACGTACGATTACAGGGCACATGCACGTCGATATGGCTGCAGCTGGTCAGCCCACAGCAAACAAACCACCATGCAAAGAGTTGGCTTGGCTCAGTTGGTTGTCCATCGTTCAGTCAGACGAACACAGAATGCGGCCAAATGTTCCGAAAGTGGCGCAACGGCGACTGCACTTGCTGATGTGGCTGCTGCTGCTGCCAATTGGTGGTCAGGGCATAGTAAATCCGTCGAATGAGTCAGCCAATATGGTTGTCTACATGCTGCCCGCGAGGGATGTGGGCCCGCGCACCTGGCAGGTGGGCGTCGACTGCCTGGACAGCTTCTCGCAAATCTTCTTTTACCGGAACCCGCTGGAACGCTTCACGCGCTCCTACAACCTGATGCTGACGAATGTGTTCAACATGTCCCTGCCCGCCGATCTCATACAGCAGGGCTTCAGCCAGCGCATCAACGAGGCCATCAGTGACCCGGAGCCGCAGCCCGGTAGGCAGCTCTTCCAGCTGCGAGTCATCTCCGATCACTTCAACACCACGAAGTTCTTCGGCGAGCTGCTGCTGGCGGACAACTACGTGATTGTCGTGGACAGTGTGGAGCGGTTGCACAGGCTGATGAGTCACCACGTGAGCAAGAGCCGCTCGTGGAACCCTGGAGCCCGCTTCCTGGTGCTCTTCAACAATGCCCAGATGTGGGAGAGGCCCTGGACAGTCGCCTCGCAGATCTTCAACGATCTGATGAGCAACTTCTACGTGCACCGTGTCGCTCTCATCTTCTCCGACTCCCCCTCCAACTACAACCTCCTGGTGAACGACTACTACAGCAACGTCGATTGCCGCGTGTTGAGTGTCCAGAGCGTGGGCCAGTGCAAGGACGGCCAGCTGTTCCCTTCGGCCCATGCTGTCCACGTCGCTATGTCCGACTACATCAGTGGCTTCAGCCCGAAGAATTGCACCTTCTACGTATGCGCCGCCATCGCGGCGCCCTTCGTCGAGGAAGACTGCATCTTAGGCATCGAGATGCGAATCCTGGGCTTCATGCGGAACCGCTTACAGTTCTTGGTGGGTAACCAATTGTTATCATCTGGATATACTCACACTCCTCCTCACTCTATGCGCACTAAGGGTATTACTGCCTAATATAATTTCCTCAATAATCTCGAACGATAGCTTATTTCAAAGTGAATTTGATCTATTTGAAAAAAAATGTAAGATCCAATCAACAATTCAAAAAATTCGTATATTTCAGCAACAATGCGATTCAGTTTAAGGGCATTCGAAAATATTTGTGCAGGATGGGGACACCAGGGAAACATTTAAAACTAAAAGAATAAACATTTTCAATGAAATACGCCATGCTCTAAACGGGTATAAATTCACCTCAGAGTTCAGCAAGTTGCTATTCATCTGGCCCTTCTATACACTCTAAGTATCCTCCACTACTGGAGGAGATACTCAGAGAAACTGCCTGAGCCTCCTACATGCACAACACTTTATTTCCTTTATGCCAACATCCACATTTAGATCATACAATTAAGAATATCTATATAATATTGACATATTATATAGAGCTTGCTAAGAGCAAACAAGTAAGAAGGCTCCAGTCGAGACTGCTCGACTAGGAGATACCCTGAACCCTCCAAGCTGATATTGTAATCATTCTGCACGTCTTCTATGCACACATACATACACATGCATCCAGATGCACGTAAAACACGCGCCCTGCTGACTGCGCAGCGACTGTGCTTGGGCTGCGTTGCAGTGTGGGCAAAATTATGAGAATTTATTAGTTGAATACTTTCTTTATGAAACATTCAGAGCATGTTCATATGGTTAAAATGTGTGTACATGCCAAAGCTCAAGTCTCTAGTAATTGAAATGCGTTTTTTATAAATTGAGGGCGTAGTATCCAGAATTTGAAAATTCAAAACCTTTGTAGCCATTAACTTTATATACAACGCAAGTTTGAAGTCTCCAGGTCTAAAAGTGTTAATATTAGGCTGGAAAAACCAAGTCGATTTTTCGTTTATTTTCGATAAAAAGTTATCGGATGAGTTATCGAAAAAAAAACTTGTACTGCATATGGTATACACGAGTATACATTCCAAATTTCAGCTCTCTAGCTCTTATAACTTCTGAGATCGGACGGACGGAAGGACAAGGCTATAACGACTCAGCTCGTCGCCCTGATCAAGAATATAAATACTTTATGGGGTTTGCGATGAATCCTTCTGCCAGTTACATACTTTTCACAAAACCATTAGACCCTGATTTCCCATTTTCAATGGGTTCAGGGTATAAAAACTTGTAGCAAAAAAAAAAAAAAAAATTGGAAGAAAATTAATATTTTGAATTTATGATGAATACGAAACTCCTTCCTATGCTTTTCACATATGCTTTCTTCTTTACGAATTCAGTGAAATTAAAGGCTTATTGTCTCTAATGTAGAATTATGTGCTCGATTCCTTCACACAAACGGACAATTGCTTGATTATCGTGTTTATATGCACTTTGTATAATTACAAATTGTCTATTCATATGCATATTCTCTACTAGCAGGATGGACATTGCGCAAAACCAATATACTCTCCATTTTTCAGAATGAGCATTGAGAATCGCACGTTTCGTTGTAGGTGAATCAAACATGCACTCGAGACACGCGAGGCGAGGTGGATGAGGTCGGCAAATGGAATGGCCTGCTGGGCAAATTGGAGGACGGAGAGTGCGACTTTATCATGGGCGGCTTCTACCCGGACAACGAGGTGGTGGGCATCTTCTGGGGCAGTGACTGCTACCTGCAGGACGCGCACACGTGGTTCACCAAGCTGGCGGACCGTCGGCCCGCCTGGCAGGCCATGGTCGGCATCTTCAGGCCGTACACCTGGATATGCTTTCTGCTGGTTCTGCTGCTGAGCTGGCTCTGCTGGTACGCGCTAGTATGCCTCCTGCCAGAGCCGCAGTACTTCCAGCCGCTCAGCTTGACGGGCATCAATGCCTTGGCGGTGTCCATATGCATAGCAGTGCAGGAGCGACCCGTGTGCGAGTCGACGCGCGTGTTCTTCGTGATACTAACGCTCTACGGAGTGAATGTGGTGGCCATATACACCTCGAAGATGATATCTACGTTCCAGGACCCAGGCCACCTGCACCAGATGGACACGCTGCAGGAGGTGGTGGCTGCGGGCATACCCTTTGGCGGCGAGGAGGAGAGTCGCGACTGGTTCGAGAACGAGGACGACCTGTGGATATTCAAGGCATACAACTCCTCGCCCGAGTTCAGGCCGCGCACCCAGAACCTGAAGTTCGTGCAGCAGGGCCAGCGCTGCATTCTGAGCAGCCGCATGTACATAATGCAGAACCTCTATGCGGACGACATCTACGCCTTTCCCCAGAACGTCTTCGTCAGCCCCATGCAGCTGATCATGAAGGCGGGCTTCCCCTTCCTCTACGAGATGAACATGATCATTCGCTATATGCGTGACGTAGGCATCATTCAGAAGATCGACTCGGACTTCCGCTATAACAACACCTATCTGAACCGCATCTCCAAGATGCGCCCGGACTTTGCAGCCACCGTCATCGTCTTGACCACGGAGCATTTGAAAGGTCCTTTTGGCATCCTGATCGTGGGAATCTGCAGCGCCATGCTGACCTTTCTCGGCGAACTGCTCTGCGGCTACAGAAGCCACAGGCGTCGACAGCGATGCACCAGGCGACGCAGCAAGTGGCGCAGGGAGCGGCAGCAGCTGCACCGAGCGGTGGCTCCGGTGGTGCGCTTCACGCCCGTTAAGCGCCGCAAAGTCCTGTAAGCAAGGAGCCGCCCAGGCAGACAAAACAAGCCAACTAGCTTCGCCATAAAAATTTACTCAATTCACATAAATTTGCAATTTGCAATTGAAGGAACTCAGTGACAGCATCAACAACGACCACGACTACGACGACGACTACGTCAATGTGGCTATGACTCTTGGGGTCGTCGTTGTCTTCTTTGTCGCGCAGTTGCAGTTGTTGTTGTTGTTGTTGTTCTTGTTGTTGTTGTTGTTGTTGCTTCCTTGTCTGGTCTGGTCGCGTCTGGTAGTTGTAGTTTTCACGCGAAATACTTAAAATCTGAGACAAAATCCTATTTTTGCAACTATCAAAAGCGACGGCATGAAAAACAAGGAGACAGTCAGGCAGGCAGTCAGTTGGTCTGTTGGTCTGTTGGTCTCCGGTCTTCGGTCTGGCTCCCGCTTCTCGCTTCCTTTTCTCCCTCTCTGCACAAATTGACAATCARCTCTGAATGAATGAATCTGCCAGTGCAAATAAACCGCGCGCTCTACTGTCGCTGATAATATTGTTATAAGTAGCATATTTACCCACTCCTGGCCCAGTCAGAGTCAACTACCAAAATAAAGTTCGCAAAATACTGCTGGCAAAATAATGAGAACCATAAAAGCTGAAGACCAAAACTTTGCGCTTACAACTTTACCACTTCACGATTTTTATCCAATGCGTACAGATTAGCGATAGAGCGACAAAAAATGCAAATAAAAGTAAATTAAATATATTAAATTAGAGATAAAATAATGAAATGATTTCACGCAACATCAACAACAAATCAGCTTAGAATTAAAAATTAAATCACTCGGAACTTTTTTTTTTTTATCATACTCCGCTTCACTTACGGCTCTTAACTTAACTGATTAACTGATTCAAGAAGAGCTGAATATTTTCAGTAAGACTCCTAGGCATAGACGAGCAACCATGGGTAATCGGTCAATGTTTGTAGAGCTTGTTTCAGGAACCCTTTCAAGGGCAGCCATGAGCCCAAACTCAATGAAAAATCAAGGCAGGACTTTGAGCAGGACTAACTCTGGGTTCCCCCTAAGATTGGGGCCAATCAGATCCAGTTGCTGATTCTGGTTCATTTAATATTCATTTCCGTTATAAATGGATCAAAAGTATTTCTAATTTAAAATGTGCAAAATAAAATTATTAAACTGCGAGAATAAAAATTAATGAAATTATTCTTAGAATTTGCTGTGAGTGGCCACAACTTGTGCTACGTGTGAATGATTCAAGCAATGCGCATCGTCCGAACTCTGAAATAAACATTCACATTCGTATTCGTATTTGCGTTCACATTCACATTCACATTCACACTTACTCGATTACTCACAGAACACTCGCAAAATGGGCACAGCACGCACTTAGTGACTCTCTCTGTATGTGTGTGTGTGTGTGCATGTGTGTTCATTTGAGTTTTCGTGAAATTGTAGACTATTGAACTATGGCGTTTCGAGCAGCGTCTGATGGGCTGACTAAGCGACTAACTGCGTCTGTCTCGCCAGGCCRCGACGCCCAACTGTCTGTCTGTGACGCAGATGCAGATGCAGTTGGGGATGCTGATGTTGATGCTGATGCAGTTGCCGTGGCAGTTGCAGTAGCTGCTGCGACAAGTCTTGGGCTAAAAATACGAAACTATGAGTTTATTTGAGGCAAGGCGAAAAAGTCGTCAAATGAAGGTCTGCGCAGTGCGCAGTTTGCTGGCTAAGAATTATGCAGCGGTTTTTATGATCAAAACAATTTTTAGTCGCTGTTGCTGTTGCTGTTGCTGTTGCTCTGGCTGCGGCTGCGACTGCTGCTGCTGCTGATGTTGCTGTTGTTGCTGTTGTTGTTGCTATTTTATTGTTTCTTCTTTGATATGCTTACAAATAAATAGTTTCACGCCATAAAGCAGCGCATAGGATGGAAGCGTTGGCCATAAAAGTTGTTTACAACTTGAGCCTGCGGCGTACATAAAAATGCACCAACAACATCAATAACAGCACCACTACAACACATTAACAACAATTTGTTGTTTCGCAGTTTGTTTTGATTTTCGGGCCACTGGCGAATTGTGCGTATGGGCTACAGGTGGTCAATGGTCCGCAACTGCGTGGCCCAGTCCTAGATCCCGTTCCCACTTGCCAGTTCCCAGTGCCCACTTTGAGTTTATCACTCATATGCTCTATACGTATGTATATGTATTATATATTTGTTTGTGTGTGTGTATCGAATTAAGCCGTTAAATTAATATTTACGATTTGTTTGTACAGAGCAATATTAACAAGCAACTGCAGTTGCGCCTTGATTGCGCCTGCGCAGGAATCGGCAACTAGCTCGCGTTTTAGCTCCTCCTCCTGCTCCAGCCCTCCTCCAGATTGTGTGTGAGAGAGGTAGAGAGAGATCACTTAATTCTTGCCAAACTCTTAATGACTGCACGCGCCATAAATTTGTAGCACACATTTCGCTCCTTTTCACACGCTCCGCGAGCATCGAGCATCGAGAGGAACACGAGAAGCGACACTGGATCCAGCTGGCTGCAGCCGTTGCTCGCAGCAATCGGAGCACTTGCAACTCTTGGGGCTATAGCGGCTTTTAGAACTGTGGGAGCTTGTCGCGCGACAATAAAACCAACAGAGCAATCTCGCATAGAGCAGCAAGCGCTCACATTTATTTGAATGCTTGACATTCTATGCCAGCAGTGATCAAAGTTATTCGAACACGGCTCACACTGCCAACAGGCAACAGCCGAACATAAAAAGAAGTAAGACTACTGTGGTCGAGTGCTACCGACTGCCCAATACATATTCAAATCGGTCCGAAATCAACTCGATATTTGCTAACACTTAAAACAGTAGGGACTCGGCAGAAACTGAACTGATCTATTTGGATTAGGAATATAGAGGACCTCAATACGATCCACTCCCTCAATAGGTTAGATCATCTTAGGTTTGGCTTATCTATATATGGAGTCCACACTAATGGAACTATTCAATTTATGATCTCAGGCTCTAAATATATACTGCATACTTTTTAAACGGAGTTTTTATTCACGAGTATATTCACAAAAGATGGTCGTTGCCCAAAACTAATATACTCTTTCAGTTCAAGAATGAGTTTAACAAAACCAACGAGTTTGCACGTTCTCAAACGAAATAAAAGCCAGAAATGTTTCAAGAAATTAGAGAGGAAAATTTTATTTCTGTATCGAATTTCGCATACTCTAGGCCAATCAGCTAAGAGGCCATTAAATTTAACTGTTGTAGTTTCTTTACACTGTGATAGAGCTGGATACTATAAAGCATTGTTTAATAAGAAATGGAATTTGATAAGCGCCTATTTATATATGAGAAATCACTTTAAAAGAAACTAGGCCGATTTTTCGTTTGGGCTTAAAATAGTTTTATTAGAATGCATGCAAGGACGTCTGGAATATATAAAGTAAATATATTCTTGATCACGGCGACCAGTGATTGGATGTGGCTTCAGAGCGTCAGAGCTTAAAAGTGCTAGAGACTTACTTTAAGTTCCTATCAATCCAAGATTGGACTTTTACCACAATTCAATCATCAAATTATATCTACTACATCTTTAGAGCTAGAGTCAATTTTATTTTCTTTACTTTAAGGTCCCGGGAATATCATAGTCGGACACCGCAAATAACGATTCCTTACTTGTTTCGAGTTCAATGATTTCACTCTTATAATCTTTATATATTACTTATAAACTGCCTGACTATGTTAATATGCCCAACGACAAGTAAGAGTATGTTAGTCGAGAAGACAAAATGCCTGCCAAGCGCGTGCTGAGCGAAAACGTGACAGCCTCTCTTGACCCAGGCCCAGACTCAAACAATTGCGAAATACGATAGCTCTAGTGGGGAGGGCCCGACTAGGAGATACTTTGGACGCCGATCTATCCGAGTTTTTAAGCTTGCATCTACACATATGGTAGTGCTGTATATTTTATAGTACGTGAATATAAATATCACTGAATCGATAAAATATGCAATTTAAATTCTCATTTCTACAATCAAACAAGTAATAGAATAATTTATATTTGAAGCAAAGATGACAGGACTTCAGTGCCTCTTCGGGAGGAAGCAGCTTCGACTCAGAAGATCCGGCTATCTATTTGAGAAAAACTCTACCAATTTGTATAATGAAAAACTCTCTCTACGATACTTAATGCATTCCGGATAATGGATATCTGCTAATGAAAATAAAAAATGGATATATTGAAAATGAACTTCAATCGAAACTTGTGGATGGATATCAGATCAGAGATCAGAGCTATTTGTAAGTACAGCTCAACAAAATCAGCATACCCCGAATACTTACTTACAATGTGTTCGGCAAATAAAAAACCAGCCACATAACAAAAAACTTGAAAAAGTTGCTCATACGCCACGTGCAACGCGACCACAGCTGTGGGCCTAGAAGAAGCACAAACACAAATACAAACGTGCACGCACACAACTTTGACGAAGAGGCACACACACACATATATATACGGCTCACACACATGACACACGCACATTGGCAATATTTATGGCAACTGTAAAAATCTGGCGCTGGTTTTTGTTTGGCCAGCCACACGTCGTGGTTATAAATTATTTTTGTTGGTTTCTATATTTTTCTTTCGCTAAATTCGCATACACCTCGCTCCCCTGGAGCTGGCTTGGAGATTGGAGTCTGGCTGGACGCGTCCTACTCGTCCTCTGGCTGGCGCATTTCGTTATTGTTTAGACATAATTTGATTTGTGTGACAGGCGGCGTCGCCAGCGCACTTAGGCGCATTACTCGGATTGCGGGCATACATAGGACATACGACTCCTGGCTGGTGGGACTTACCGCTTCTTCTGGCGCTGCTCGAGTGCAATGTGTATGGGCACGTCCACATAGAGATCCTCGACGTCCTCGATGCTGCCCAGCATCTTTTCGTAGGCCAGGCGCTGCGGGCAGCTGGACGGCGGCGGGACATACGAGTCCTGGCTGATGCGATTGCTGGCCAGCGGCGTATGCGCAATCTCTGCACTCAGCTGCACGAAGTCCTGCAGGAACAGCAACACCAGCGCCAGCACTTGCCCAACCACAGGTCCCGACTGCCGTCGCATGTTTTATGTTCTCTCGCGTCTGTTACTTGATAATTTGGCTCTTAAGTTTTATGGCCCGTTAACGGTTCGTAATTGCCCTAAATTGAATTAGTTAAGAAATGTACTTGTTAGTTTCGGCTTTCAGTTGAGATTCAGTATCTGTTTCAGTTTCAGTGTGTGTGTGCGGAATCATAAATTCAATTGTGAATTTAGCTTTACTTTTAGTATACTCTGCATTATCTACTTTCAGATGTATTAAAATCTTTTCGATTTATAAACTCAAAATTTCGTCACATTTTACTTTTGTTGATATTCCAGTGGTGTGCAACTTTATTAAACCACAATGATTTAACTGTCTTGGAAATATGTATATTTATTCATGAATTACTGTAGAATGACTGGATCTTAAAATATATGAACAAATGAGACAGCAAATAGTTAAATACCAAATGAAAATGTAAATTGTTCTAATACCCAAAGATCTCCCTGCATTTGAAGTCGGGATATTAGAATTAAATGGTTTTATATATTGAACATCTGTTGTCGTGAGCCTAAACACAATTAACATAATTAACAGTTATTTCTTTACACAGAAGAAAATAGAAATTGAGCTCTAAAAAATTCACCGGCACTCGGAATTTTAATAATAAAAAATAATTTCTATCTGCTAAGTATACAAATTCGAAGGTCGAACTAAGGAATCGAATTTAAGGAGTATAATATAAAAGTTGGGGTTCCGCGATTCTCTTTTTAGGGTTTATTTGCCATACCTTATCTACCCTTTTACCCTATCTATATAGCTTTTAAGCTGTTGCTAAAGTCAAAGCCTAACCCAAATGAACTCCATTTCTTGCTATAAATCATTCCTGTTGACTTTGCTAATCCCCCAAGGCTAAGCAATTGTTTTTGTTTTTTACCCGGCGGCTTTAACTCTTCTGCTTGGTCACTTCGACATCTTTGGGACCCCCATCAGAACAGCTTGACAAAACCAATGCCAGCTCCTCCTCTCGCTACTGCTGCTGCCTACTGTCTGCTGCCTCWTCTTCTTCTTGCTACAATTAAGGCCTGTCAAACCTTTGACACACGTCGCTGCTGCTAAGGCCATTGCCATTGCCTCTGCTTGTGACAACTTCTTTAGCTGACTGAAATAACTAAACAAAAAATAAAGGAAATCATTTTTGGCAGCGCAGCGCGGCAGCTTTTCAAGTGTTTGGCGTCGAGTGTTTTCTCCCTGCATTTAGTTCATCGCATGGGGCAGCCAATTAATTTCTTGGCTGCACTGAATCAATTCCTGGAACTGTTAGATTTTGATAATTGCGGTCCACACGCCCCCTACGCAACATCTTCTTCTTGCTGGGGCTGTGCCTCGCGGCAATTAATGTTCTGCGAACTCGCGTGCGGCGCAGCAAGTGGGCAACGCTATCAAAGGCTGCCCGAGAGGAGTTGCCACCTGTTGTTGCCGTGCTGAGCAATTAACGACACATGCGTCCAATAAACACAGGAACACACACGCATAGAGCACCCGCGCACTCACCTACACACACATGCACATTCATAGCCACAAACAGAAACACTCACTTTGCTACAGTTTGGTGTTGGCAATTTTTTGAGCGCGCATCGTTTGTCTCGCACTGTGTTTTGTTTGTCCCGTTAGCAGCAGGGTTTGTATTTGCAGACGGTATGGCAAAGCTTTGCCTCTGCTTTTGCTACACACACATGTGCAAGGACACACTGGGACACACATACACGCACTAGAAAGCTCAGGCACGCGCGTATTTCGGAAGCTGAGGCAGATGCTTCCGTCTGCCTTGACGAGCAAACTCAAAATGAGAGTCGTGCGCAAAGCAAACGAAAATCCGAGCGCATCTGACGCCAGCTGCGCCGCCAACAGCGGCAGCGCCCTCTGCGACTGCGGGCAGCATTGCCGAAGATGCCGCCCCAATCGCACGAAGACATTAACCGAAGTGGCCAGCTGCGCTTCAAGCAGGCGCACACATGCATGCACGCTTCCCCTGCATGTATTTGTGTGCTTGTCTGTTTATATATAGCTTCTTATGTTTTTCTTTTTTATTTTTTATTTTTTATTTTGGTTTTGTTTTTTCTGTTTTTTGCTCTTTTTGCCTTAATTAATGTGCCTGCTTCGGGGGCTGCCCCATTGATGAGGCTGCCAACTTCGACTCATGCCTTGCTCTCTTGCCTACGCCCTTCTGCCCATTAATCCTTCAACTATGCTGCTCTGCCTGTGTTTGTTTTTGGCTTTTCATTTGCTTTTGTTTTAGTCGCGCCAATGTTTTCGATTTTTGAATTTTAAATTCATTGAAAGCAGCAACAACAACAAGCAAAACATTAAATGCGTTTGTTTAATGCATGGCACGTGACTTTCAATCAAACACAAAATAAAAATAAGAAAATTATAAATAAAGCAAAAGCCGAGCGCCACTCAGCCGCAACATCTTCAGCTCTGAGTCAAATGTAATCCGAGTGGAGCCATGAAAAAACACGGAAGACAAACAATTGACTCAGACGCTGGCTCAGCCGCCAAATGCAGGCGCTCAGCCGCTGCTTGGTCCACGTCTGCTGCTAGACACGGCCTCTGGACTCTCGATTTCAATGCACTTGCAGATCGTGTCCATGTCTCAGTTTCGCTTTCAGCCTCTTTCAGTCATTTCCTCCGTCCACTCCCCACTCGCCGCCCCTTGGCCCTTCACTCCCCAACTTAAAAACCAAAACATTGTGAAATTCACACACGGCTCTCGAGTTGTGAATTTTGCTGATGGCAACGATTTAGGTACATGTGTTTTAATTCCACTCTGTTCTTTGCTTGTTTGTTTTTATTTACTTTTTCTGTTTTCGTATATATATATATAAGCACTGGGGAGAACTACAATATGACCATTTCATTCAGTTCGAGCCCTTGGCATATATACATACATATGTATAAATATCATATCAAACTTTGTTGATAGAATTGCTTTCAAATATAATATAAGTATATACATAGAATTCTACTTGTAATCATTATATTCACCTGAATCGCATGACAAGGGCGTTTATTAATAATGCATGAAATAATAATATCTAATATATGATATATAATCTAAAAATTATATATTGCAAATTAAATGATATTTTATGTATGATGTTTAATAGACATATAATAGACATTATACTTTATTTGCAATATTATTATCTTAAAAATTTAGGCAATTAAGAGTCGTACTTAATCTTTATTTGTCTTAAGCTCGTATGGGCTGCATTAAATGAACCAACTATATTACATATGGACTGATATACTTTTGTTAGAGTATTTAAGTACTTTGCTGACTATTTATTGCTGATATTCTCAGTTGGGGGATTTGTTGCGTTACTTAATAGCATATTTCGTTACGTTATGCATTCAGTATTATTTCCACAAAGTGATTATAGAATGCTGACGTTGACTTAAAATCAATTCGCTCAGTCTGTCGGTTAGTTTGTCTGTCTGCTTGGTGGTCTGTCGGTCTGTCGGTCTGTCTGGTTTAGCCAAGTAGCCAAACTGGCTGTGCAATTTGTGTTTGCCTGTTGTTTCGGTGGGGTGTTCCCGGAATTCTGACAACGCCAAAAAGCTGTTGCGTATGCGCTGCGGCGGGCAGGAAATGAACTTTTTTGGGGCCCGGCTGCAGCTCGTAGCTGCAAATGAACAGCCAAATTAGTTAGAAAAGCAGTGAAAAATGTAAGCGACTTAATCAGCCAGACAACGTCGCCCAAGCCGCCAGCAGCTCAGCACGGCCGAGCAAGGCAAGGTGCTGGAGGCAGTGGAGGAGGGGGAAGGGGTCAACCTTGGAGGCGCCCCTAAAGCGCATAACTCAAGGGCCACGCGGAAAACAGACAGATCCCAACTAGGCCCCGTTCCGGCTAGCCCCAGCCAGGCAACGAGGAGAGCCCCACCAAGCCAAGTCAGACTCATGCATAATGCAAGGCGCTGCTCGGCCTGTCAGCCCCGACTTTGGCTCTGGTGGTGGCCCAGCGGCGTTGCGTTGCATTTTTCAACAATTTAATTATTGACAAAAAGGTGGAATGAGTGACTGACAGAATGAGTATTTGAGTGCATATGTGCGTGTGAGTGAGTGTGTGTGTGTATGTCTTTTATGTCTGCGGGATGGGAACATTGATTGAAAATGAAAGAATAATCATTCCTTTAAAGTGATATTTTACATATAGGGAAATCGAATAATGTGGGAGCATTTTTTAGATACTCCTTGATAGACAGTCTGCTTTCATATTTGTCTCCTTCATCAGCTTCTACTTTTGCTATGTCTCGGTAGTGAATGACCATTATCTATTATCTACTGTAAAATTCCTCTTCATTTTAAGATTTTACGCTCGGAGGGATTTAGTTTTGCCTTCACTATAAATCTCGATTGTCTTTTTTTTTTTTTTTTTTTTTTAACTGGGGTTAATTCCCCTGGATCAGGTAGATCATTCACTTTGGCCTCTGAACTCTCAGCTTCTACAACTACATTTTCTGCTGCACACTATTTCAATTCCAATTTCATTCTTGTCAAGTTCCTCTATTGTCCCTGCTACTCGAACTCCTTCTGCTGCTCCAGATTGCATTCGCGCTGCTACTCCAACTACGTCCGCTACACTTTTTGGTCGCATCCAACTTATTGGTACAACATTTTTGCCTCACACTCGCACTTCATCAACGCGAAATGATTGGCATGCCAACGTCAATGACTGTAGTAAGGCGGGAGCAGCAGGAGGAGCAGCAGAAGTAGCAGCAGAAAGGGCATCAGGAGGAGTAGCAGCGGGAGCAAAGACTGCTGACTGCTGGATGCAGCGGCGACAGCCTCCGACATGTGTAAAAGAATCGTTTAAAATAAATGACAGCCGAGCCCCCTGTGCGCAGCCTTCTCTGCCTCACTTGCTCGCTCTCGCCCTCTCTTTTACGCTCTAGCTGCTTCTTCAGCTTGCCTGCATAATTACCCACAGAGCCGAAGCCCACGGCAGATCACAATAATCAATACGGCGATGTAGTATGCCACAGCAGCCTGGCCGAGTTTTTATACTTTCTGATTTTAAATTTTCTTTGCCTTCCTGTCTGAATGCCCTGTAAAGCTTCGACCAGTTAAATGTAAAAGTGTATAAGAGCGTAGAGAACTACAAAAGAAAGTGTCGAATATTTTAAATTCTTAATTCTTAATTAAAGATACCATTTTTATACCCTGAACCCAATGAATATGGGAAGTCAGGGTCTAATGGTTTTGTGAAAAGTATGTAACAGGCAGAAGGAATCATCAATCATATGCCCATAGAGTATATATATTCTTGATCAGGTCGACGAGCTGAGTCGATATAGTCCTGTCCGTCTGTTCGTCCGTCCGTATGAGCAGGCGGATCTCAGAAGATATAAGAACTAGAGGGCTGAAATTTGTCATGCATACTCGTGTATACCATACGCTGCACAAGGTTATCTTATTTTTTCGATAGCTTTTTATCGAGAATAATCGAAAAATCGACTTTGTTTTTTCAGCCTAATTTGATTACTTTTAGACGTAGAGACTCCATATTGTATTTACTGTGTATATACACTTGATCGATACGAAGATTTTGTAATTTACAGACTTTGGATACCACGCCCCTTCGCTCCCAATATGTAAAAACGCATTTCCAGCAATAGAGACTTGTGCTTCGAAATGTACACACATTTTAAGTATATGATCACATCCAAAAAGTTTCATAAAGATAGTGCATCTACAAAAGAAACTATTCAATAAATAAATTCTCATAATATTGCCCACAACGCAGCGCAGCCCAACCGCAGTCGCTGCTTATTGCGCACTTAGCTGTGCGCGGGCTTATGCATGTGTTTGTATTTTTGCATAGAAGAATTGCAGAATGATTAGAATATCAGCTTAGAGGGTTCAGGGCATCTCCCAGTCAAGTAATCTCGACTGGAGACTTCTTACTTGCTAATTTTTATTTACATATTAAAGTATACAAATTTATATATTTTGCAGTTGATATCCGCTCATAGTCATTTTTCTATTGATTTAGGGCTTTGGTGGACTCTATTCATTATGAGTGGACTCCACCAGAAACTTGAAGGATATCTTCAAGTCGATCAATATCACCTTAGGCACTCATTGTTTTTTTTTTTTTTTTACCTCTCAGTGAGTGTGTGTGGTCCAGTGTTTCGCATGTTTTCGGTTGCTTCGTTTGAACTGAGCCCTGGACCTAGAGACTCCGTGTCCATCTTTCAGCTACCAGTTTCTAGCTCGGTTCTTTCTAGCTTCCAGTTGCCATGTCCACATTCCCAGCTGGCAGGCGTGCCTAGATTATTTGTTTACACGCATCCATTGAGCGATGCAAATCCATCATTCATCATTCTGCGTATGCACTAAGCATCGACCCAAACCTAGGGCGCGGCGGGGACAGCGGAGTCTTTAGCGCATTACAACACCTTCTTTGCCGAAAGAGCGCCCCAGGGCCCCTCAAGAAAGTGTTGCAAACACGCCAAGGCAGGCCTGAAACACCTGGCCACGGGACGGGCCTAGAGACAACTGTTGCGGCCGGTTGGCCGCCTACCCCCGGCTACCCCCGGCCACCTGCTGCCTGCCTCGCTGGCTGACGGATAGCTGGGCGTCGCACGAGCAGTGGGCAAAGTCGATGTGGGGCGGAAAACTTTAGCCTCGTCCTGCTAAGCGACTTTGTCCTTGGCCCTTCGCAAGTTGAGAGGACGCGAATAGAAGGAAGGGAAACAAATTGTCAACTTGGCACGCATTTTATTAAATGAAAGAATGTTTTAAACTGAAGCAAGTGGGGACAGTGAGCAGGGCTCAGCTGC